CTGATCCCAGTGAGGGTGTCCCTGCTCAGTGCAGGGGGTTGGACTCGCTGGGCTTTAAAAGTCCCTTCCAACCCAACCCATGCTGGGATTCACTGATTCCCTGAGATGTTGGCATTTCCTTTCCAACGGGGAATGAATTCCTCTTTGTTCTCCTCCCTGAGTTTCTTTGCAAAGAAGGGATCTCATCTCAGGGTCAAACTGCTGACTGACCCCCCAATCTCCAGGTTTCTGTACCTTTAATTCCATGTGTCTCTCCAGGAGTTGGTTTAATATAAAGGTCAGTCCCTTGCTCAAGGCCACGGCCACAGGAAGCCCCTTCTTTGGGAATGTCTGGGAATCAGGTTTGGGGAATCCCTGGCCCTGGGCCCAGGCAGTGTCACAGAGGGGAATCTGTGGGTCAGCACTTTGCATTTCACTCACTGTAAACACTTGGATTCAGGAAAACTCAGAGTAAACATTGGCTTTGACTTTCCACTGGACAATATTTACTGATTCTGTCAATAAAACCTGTTCCAGCTGCTGAGCTGAGAAAGGAAAGGGTGGCCTTTGGGACTGTCACTGAAAACCAGGAAATAAACTCTGAACAGTCTGTGGGGTTGGAAAGCTGACATTAATCAACTCTAATTACTTGAATCACTGTTAAGGTGCATGGGGATAACTCAAAAAAACATGTACCTCAGTTACCAAAACTTTGAACTCTGTATACATTTCAGCAAAGAAAGGAATTAGTGTTCACTGGCTACAAGGTACATGGTTCTCTTCATTAATTAGTGTTCTACCCTCTATTGGTTATTGATCTCTCACTTCTCTTGCTGGTTGGTGCACATTTTTCAGTCCCTTTTATTCCCTTTTCCCCAGACAGGACATCTCTTGTTCCTGTGATGTGTCCTGGTGGTTTATAAATCCTGCATTCTGCTTGTCCAGCCCTAAACAATGAATTTCTCTCCCAGTCTGGGACCACTGAAGAATGTCAGGCCCCAAACTTTTGCTTTGTTTTTCTAACAAATACATGGACACCACCCAGAGCTTGCCCCTCATCCATTATCTCTCCCAGGGATTAAACCCCCTGGCAATGATTCCCCCCAGAGCTGCAGAGGCTCCTTTTTAAGGAAATAGGGTTGGTTTGGGGACAGTTCCCTCGGGAGGGGAACCTCCTTCCCAGGCTGTGTGGGGACCACACTCTGCCTCAGGGGGTGGTGTCTCCTCTGGCTGGTGCTGCCCCTGCTTGGGAGCCGTTGCCAGTTCCATCCACCACTCCCACCCACCCTGTTGCTCTTCCCGATGGATCAGCTTCCTGCTTTTTCATGTTTGAAAGCCAAGGACCACAATTATTCCTGATTCTTTAATTGGGGGGTGAAAATCTCCTGCTTTGGGCAATAAATCCTGGTTCCCTCCTCTGTGTCTGGCAGTTCCTCTCTGGGAACCAGGAATGGGAATGGGGACAGGGGGGACCAGGATGGGGACACTGGGGACAGGAACAGGGACACTGGGAGCAGGCTGGGCATTACCAGGAGTGGGAATGGGCACAGCAGGAACGGGAATGGGCACAGCAGGAACAGGAGTGGGCACAGCAGGAACTCTGTTTCTCTCTGCTCATGGCTCAGTGCTCTGCAGGTTTAGTGCCCCCTTTGCAGCCCCGCAGAAAAGGAGGGCACTGCTCTTCTCTGCTTTCTTTTGCTCAGCATCTTCATTTCCCTCCTCGGAAGGACCCACCAATGTCCCACTTCCCAAAGAGCAGCAGCAGCGGCCGGGCCCGGGGGGATCTCCCCCAGGCAGACCCTGGCACTGCCCTGTGCTCGTCCTGCCACAGGAGCTCAAGGCTTCTCTAAGGAAGTTTTCAGCCCACTACACAATACATGCAATGAAAACTCCAGTGATTTAAGAACTTGGACTCCAGCAGAACTCTTGGTTTATTCCATCAGGAAAAAGATACCAGGAAATAAAGACATCCCTTAATATATGTAAGTCAAATGTGCTGTATAAAGGAAATTACTGAGTTTTATATGTGGATACATTAGAGAAGGGAGCAGGATCCAATGCTTGGGATGCTCCTTGGAATACTATTCCAGGAATGTCTTGATACAGAGCATCAGACTCCTCAACAGAATCCTGCCAAGTAGTTATATCCACATAGGAAAGGAAATTGTTGGCGATCCTGACCTGGCTTTTGGAGGTACCAGGAGCTCCTGATAAAACAAAGATCTTCAACTGAAGGCTTTATTAAAGTAGCTGAAGGGTCAAACTAAGAAGTGTCTGAACCTGCAGACAGTCATTCCTTCAGAGCAGAGATGCAGGGGCTTGGGAATGTTATTCCCTCCTGCCAGCTTCCCACACAGCTGTGGGTACACATTGTCCAGGCAGCTCACGAAATGCAGAGTTTCCTTCCCACCTGAAGGGAGGCTTTGCTCTCCAACACCTCTCCCAGGGGGCACTGGGTGATCGCAGGCTGGTTCTGCCGGCTCTGCCCGTGTCCTGCTCTCCTTGGAAAGCAGCACGGCCGGAAGGATCCAGCTATTGATCCTGATCTCCGAGACAATCAATAAAATATCATTAAACAGGCATAAAATGTGGGGAATCGATCAAAGAAATGCCAGCTCTGTCTGAAAAGAGACACAAATACAGAAGAGCCGCCCCGGGACGGGCGGGCTGGGAACACAAAGTGGAGACTGAAGTGAATGCGAGAGGGATCGGCCCTTGGGGGGCCCCGCCGGCCCCCGGCACTGAAGAGCCGCCTGGGATGGGCCCTGGCGGGGGTCGCCAGAGAAGGGAGCGAGGTCGGAACAGAATAAAATACAGAGAATAAACCAAAGTAAAACAAAAAAGCCGCCCTGGGGGGGCCTCCGCCGCCCCGTATGTAAAAGAGCTGCCCCGAGGGACGAGCGAGGAGTGGCGGCCGTGGAATGGTCACCGGGGGTGTGGCGAGGGAGGCGTGAATGAAATCAAATCAAAAGGAGAGAATTAAATACACTAAAGGAGCCGCCCCGAGTCACCGACAGAGCTGCCCCGAGGGACCCGCTGTCGGGTGTCGTCAAAGGGCTGCACCGAGGGCAGGGTGAGGTGGGAATAGAATTAAATGCAGAAAATAAAAGAAAGAGAATATAAAGGAGGTCCCACTGCCCCGTATCGAGAAGAGCCGCAGCGAGGGACCGGCGGGGCGGCACCGGGCAGGCCGGACGATGTTCGGTTTTCCCGAAAAAGCCCGAAAAAGTCGTCATCTAAAAGAACCCCGTGGCAGCCCCTGACCGGGCTGTAACAGCGGGCGCGGCCCGGCCCGACCCCTCCACCCGCGCCAGGAGCGGCGATGCCCGCGGGCCCGGCCGGGGCCGAGCGGCGGCAGCCGGAGCAGGGGAAGCGGCTGCAGCGGCGGAGACGAGCGGGGTGTTCCCAACCGGGTCCGCTCCGCCCTCGGGCCCCGGGGGGAGATCGGGGGTTGTTCCCAACCGGGTCCACCCCACGGACCCCCCAGAACCCCCCACC